CGACCTGTCTTCTCATCTAGTAATTGGTGGGGCTGGGCCCCTCAAAGGGATTGTGGGAGGACTTCATAGGTAAGCCAACTTTACAGTGCTTGTCATAGGAAAGCAACGAAGTCAAAGGGAAAGTCACTACACCAGGAACAGCAGCTCGAAAGGCCCAAAACCAGGCCTGTCTTTCAAGGGTCAACTGCCTTTCCCATGGCTTGGCGGGGGTGGGGGTGGGGCTGCGGGACCACAGAGCCTGGAACCCAGCAGAGTTGGTGGGTACAGAACAAGGCTTCCTGCTGCCTCCCCGCCACCTCCTCCCAGGCAGGCCCAAAGGAAACCGCCAGGCCGGCAGTGGCCAGCCCTTTCTTTCTGCTTCCTCTTTCCCACACAGCATGGAGGAAGGGAGGCCAGGTCCCTGCATGCCTGGGGCTCCTCAGGCCTCCTAGCTTCCCTGTCTTTATGCCCAGCAAGTACATAGCCCTCCTGCCCATCATCGCCCCAGCTTCTCAAGCACTTCTCCAGCCACACAGCCACACAAGGGACCACTGGTACTAGGATGACCACCCGGTTCCCTTCCTACAGCACTCTACATCCTAACCCTCACTCCCACCACCAGCTGTGAGACCTTTCTCCCTAAGCAGCAGCTCCCACAGGCCTGACCCCAGATACCCCAGAGTCACTCCTGTTCCTGACACCATAGAAGCCACAGAGAGAATGGTGGCACTAAGCTTTCAGGCTTACCAAAGTGAAACTGACCCCAGCCTGACCTGCTGCTCCAAGGGGCTAGGAGAGGCCACCAGGCCTGAAAACCACCCCTGCCCACTGGGCCATGCAGTAAGGACTAATAGCCCCAAGCCTTGTTTTCCTGGGAGGTGCAGAGCCCAAGGCCTCCCTGTAGTACCTCAATGTCGCCCCAGTTGGGCACATACTGAAACACGACTGTCTTTGGGCCCAGCATCTACAGCACCCACATGGCATCCCTGGCCACTGCCCTGGGAGGGTAACTGCACAGGGGCCACTCATCAGCCAGAGAAGATGGTGTCTTCTCGCATCTTCTCTACTCGACCACACAGGTAAGACCAGGTGCTAGGTCCCTCCTGTGTTACAGTCTCACAGTTTGGCCTTATTTTTTGAGATGGGATTATTTTGTATCCTAGGCTGAACTTGGACACAAAATCCTCCTGCCTTAGCTAGGATAATTGGAGGGGGTGGGCCCAGGTCCATCATGCCCATCCTTAGCTCTTTGCTGCTGAGATAGTAGCTCGCATAACACAGGCTGGCCCCAATTTTGATGTGTAACCAAGACTGACCATGAACTGATACTATGGAGATTACAGGTAGTGCCACCATGCCCAGTTTAGACCTTAGGAAAGAGTAAGAGTGTCCACTTGCCCCTGTGTGCATGTTTGGAACATGGTGCTAAGTCTTCGGGGCAGCCTCCACTCAACCCAGGCAGCTTTCATGGCTCTTGCTTCAAACATGCTCCACACCTCCCACCTTGGGGCCTTTGTCCAGCTGTCCCTTGCTGCCAGTCAGCAGGTTCCCCTTCAGAATCACAAGGAATCAGGGGTGGTGGCACATGCCTGCAATCCCAGTACTCAGGACTGGAGCAGGAAGATTTCCTTGAGTTGGAGGCAAGCCTTTGCTATGTAATTTCCAGATCCACCCAGGCTATGAGTGAGACCCCACAGTGGGGTGCAGAGAAGGAAAACAAGGAAACCGGCAGTTTAGACAGTGCTGTTGGCACAATCCAGAACACTAGCCAGCAGGACAGACAGCATCCAGAGGCAGAAGCACGCCCCTACAGATGGGCACTTCAGCACCAAATGGCCTTGGGCTCTAACAGGAAGTCTCTCCAGCACACAGAACACATCCACAGGCATAGTGTGGTAGCTCTGCCTCACTCCTATACACCAACTCAGTCCAGATGCCCGCCACGACAGCATGACGCTGCAATAAAGTTCCAGAAGAAAAGACAAGCCCACAAAGCCTGGCTGGGCCAGTAGTTCTCAAGTGGGATACAGAAAGCAATCAAATAGGGAGCTTCTTGTCTGTTGTGGTGGCGTATACCTATAATCGAAGCACTCAGGATACTGAGGCAGGAGATTTAAGAGTTGAGGGCGAACCTAAGCTACAAGGGAGATGCTTTCTCAATAAGGGCTGTCAAGATGGCTCAGCAGGTACAGGAAGGTGCTCACTGCCAAGCCTGACAACCTGAGTTCCATTCCCTGAGACCCAGGTGGTGGAGGGAGGGAGCTGACTCCTCCAAGTTATCTTCTGACCTTGATGCACAACCACACACCCCTCCTACCCCTGCTACACGCTAAATTGCAGTGAGTGGATCACCATAAAAGGTGGGCACTTGTGTTGCTAAGAAGGCAGTCCATATCATGCGACATGACATCTACAATACAGGAATGCCCATACCACACGCATCTCTGGGAAGTCCTGAGAAAAGGGAACCTTGGCCAATTAGATGGCCTGGCTGGTAAAGCTTGACCCACAAACGTGAGGACCCCAAGAACTCATGGCAACAGCTGGACAAAGCCCAGCATTGGGAAGAGACCAATAGGTCACTGGAGCTCCCTGGCCAGGTGGGCTAGTTGAACTGATGAGCTCCAGGTTCAGAGATCTTGTTTGTTAAAAATAAGGTGCAGAGCAAAGGGGAAGACACATCGGAGGCTCCCTCTGTCCACAGGCACATGCAGCCACACAAAAAACAAAACTAAACAGTCTCTCTCCAGGCTGGAAAGATGGCTCAATGGTCAACAGCACTAGCTGTCTCCCAGAGGAGGCAGGTTCAATTCTCAGCACCCACTTGGCAACTCACAACTGTAACTCCTGTTCCAGGGATCCAACACCCTCACGCAGACATACATACAGGCAGTTTCAATGTACATAAAATAAAAATAAATTATTAAAAAAACAAAAGACAGGCTCTTTACAAAAGAATAAATCGTAGGGGTCAGTAAATATGAGACACTAAAGCTCCTGAGAGACCAGCACATGGCTATTAGAACAACCAGCTTCAAGAGTGTATGAGGATGTGGAAGCAGGGTCTCTCAGCCACTGCCGTAAGTACACCAATCAGCACAGCCCCTTGGGGAAAGTCATGGTGTCACCAGGAAAATCACTGCCAGGAATCTACCCAAGAGAAACAGAAGCACATGCCTGCAGAGACCTATGTGCAAATGTCACTGGGATATTATTCAAAAAAGTCCCAAAAAATACTGACGCTTGTCATACCAACACTTGAGAGACCGACAGAAGAGGACCTAAGCAAGAGCCTGTTCAAGGGGGAGAAGGCACGGAAGTAGGAGTCATTTAACCAGCTCTGCAGCAGGTGTCAGTAAACCAGCATGGGCTAGTGCTTGCACCAGAACGCATACAAAACAAGATGAACTTAAAACTCTACAGAGGGCTGGAGAGACGGTTCAGCACTTAAGAGCATTTGCTACCCTTGCAGAGGACCTGTTTGATTCCCATCACCCATTAATTATCAGGTGGCTCACAACCACCTATAACTCCCAAGTCTAGAGTATTGGATACCTTTGGCCTCTGAGGGCACCTGTACTCAGTCATGAGCATGCGCACACGAGAGCACACACATATATGGATGTATACATACATCCATTTATGTGCAGTTAAAAATAAATACATAGGGAACAACTGAGAATGTGATGTGATGAGTAGAATCCTGCTGCCCATGCACAAAGCCCTAGCTTCAATACCTAAGCCACATAAAATAGGCCTAGTGGGACATGCTAGAATTCCAGCACCCAGTGGGTAGAGACTAGACGCTCAAACCTAGCCAGGCGCTGTGGTACACGCCTGTAATCCCAACACTTGGAGAGGCAGAGGCAGGTGGATCTCTGTGAGTTCCAGGCCAGCCTGGTCTACAGAACGAATCCCGAACAGCAAAGGCTACACAGAGAAATCCTGTCTCAAAAACAAAAACAAACAAAAAACCCAAAGGGCTGGAGAGATGGCTCAGAGGTTAAGACTACTGTCTGCTCCTCTAGAGGTCTGAGTTCAATTCCCGGCAACCACATGGTGGCTCACAATCACAATACTAGAACCTGATTTGCCCTCTTCTGGCATGCAGGTGTACATGCAGATAGAGCACTTGTACATTAAATAATAAAATCATAACACAAAACAAACAAAACCAAGAAGCTCAAACCTCAAAGTCATCCTCTACATAGCTAGTTCAAGACCAGGCTAGGCAAGACCCAATCTCAAAAACGAAACCAGATATCCAAACTATGGAGTGAGTAGGCAGAGTGTGGGAATGAGGGTGCTTCTGGATCACTTAGAGGCACACACTGAAACAAAGAGCTTCATAGCACTACTACCTTTTAGCAGTCACTGGCAAGGACTTTGCCACCCTAGTAGATCCAACTCCCTTTCCTTTGCAATGGTGCCAAGTGCGTGCTCACTGGGGGCTTGCTCCTTCTAAGCTCCCAATAGAACAGTAGCTTTCCAGCCCCTGATGTATGCCTAGTACACAGTAGGTGCTAATAAATACCTGTCCAGTGATCATGATTGGCACCACATGACCAAGAGTGCCTCACATCACTGTTCCCCTACAGCCAGGATGTCACACAGAACGGGACCACAGAGAACAGAAAGAGGAAATCAAGGCAGGCAGCCAGGCCTCACACACCCACACCAGAGAGATGAATGCTAGCTGCAGCACTGAGATCCTGGGCCTCACCTGCCAGTAGAGTAACTGGTGAAACCCTGGCCACTAGCCAGGAGGAGCAAGTCTCAGAAAACAAACTGCAGGGTGGGCACATCAGGGGTTCCACTCTGCCCTTACGGACTTCCTACAAGTCAGTGTCAGCTGGATCTGGACTTTGAAAGACTAAACCGATCAGCTCCGACCCATCAACGGCATGAACAGCATCCACAGTGGCCTTGAACTCTCCAGGGTCGAAAACTCACTGTCTGGGACACGGGAGTGCGGTGGGTTACCAAGCAATGGGCATGCCGTTGCATACCAGGACGCTCACCTTGGGGGGATCGAAGAGCTGCAGCAGGCGGCCATGGCCTGGACCTGGGGCCCGCAGCACCAGGCGACCCCGCTGCCAGCTCGCCCCGCTGTCCATGGCCGCCTCATCTGCCAGGCTGTAGCGCAGCGCCGCCTCCTTGAGTGCCTCGGCCGACGGCTCCCGAAGACTCCAGGGTAGCAGCTTGCGGGTGGAACCCGGCCTGGTGGAGGCGGAGGTGTCATTGTCGGTGTCGTTGGTGTCGCTGGCAGCCCCTGGCAGCTCCCCAGCTGAGCGGCGGCGGAAGAGCTGGCGCAGGCCGCGGCGCAGGTGCTGCAGGGCGCAGGAGGGCCGCGGGCCCAGGTCCTCGGAGCTGCGCGCTTTGGGCAGCGCCGGGCGGGGCGGGGCAGTGGCGCGGTAGTCGCGACCTGGCGGCCCCGCGAGACCCTCTCGTACCTCCCGGCAGAAGTGGCGCTGGAAGAGCTCAGCGAACTGCAGCGACACTAGGTCGGCGCGGGGCGGCTGTGGGTGCGCGCGCGCGAACAGCCAGTACTGGTGGGCCAGCTCTCGCGCCGCGGCCGCTGCGTGCCGCTCGCAGAAGTCGCTCCAGCCGCGCGGGGATGCGGGCGACGCGGGTGCCGAGGACGTGCGGGACGGCTGCACGGTGGGCCCGTTCATGGCGGAGAGCGAGGCGGGGCGGCCGAGCTGCAAGATAGGACACAGGCAGTGAGCCAGGCAACGTCCCCGCCCCCGTGGCCACCCGGAAACACCCCGCACGTGGAAGCCAACAAGTCAGCGGGAGGGCAGCGCACACTCGGTGGATACAGTGGGTAGGCAAGATCAACCGGGGAGGAGCTGCTTTCTCCAGAGGGGCTCTGACAGCTCAGCAACCCTCAGAACCATGCTTGGGGTTTCCCGGAATTTTTCGTCTAATATTTTGACCATAAGAAGTGAAATTTCAGGTGACGGGAACTGCCTACCAGGAAACAGGCTACTCACAGAACACCAAAGTAAAAACTGACCAGTGACAGCCGGGCTGCTTTGTAAAGAATGAACACAGGCTTTCCACGGCCCAGGGTGGGTGCTGTAAAATGGTACAACTTCGGGGGGGGGGGGGATTTAGACTCATTTCCCACGATTAAAGGTTTTCAAGGTAAATGCTTGCTCATAGGCCAGAGCCCTGACCACAGCTCCCTGCTATTGGTGACAACCCTGACCAACGGGCAAAGCCTGGGGAGAGGGGAAGGCACGGGGCTGTCCTGGAGCAGGAAGCAAGGGTGAGGGTACTACCACCCTTTCTAGGAAGCGCAGAGGTCAGGGCCATCCATCCACCCTGTATGACCCTGTTTACTTCCACACATCCTCCTCCAGCTGGTTTTTACAGGTATGGTCACACATTTAATGGTGGACAAGAAAGGCCTGGTGGGCAGATCCATCCTGAAATGGTAGGTTGTGGGGCAGACTAGAGGTGCCGGGGAAATAACAGGCGGATAGTTATTACCCGTCTCTAGAAAGCATGGTTAGGAACATGAACTCTGAAACCTGGGTCCAAATTCCAGGCCCTCCTCTCACTGGTTATACGTGATCTTGAGTGACCTCAAGCGGTTCCCCACCCCTCAGTTTCCCATATGTCAGGCTGCCCACCTCAGCCAATTGAGAATGGTTTATAATCTGGAAAAGTTCAGTGACTAGATGCTGTCCTCATTTAAATGTTGTAGCAACAGCCACACTAAAGATGAAATGCAGTGAGCAGACTCACAGTGATGTAAGCATCTCCAGGCCTGATAGGGGGCCTCCAGCAGACGCAGGAGCATGACAATTACGATGTCCATGGGTCGCCCTGCACTATCCTTGGTGTCTGGTCAGGATAAACACTGCAGAACCTATACACAAGACCTGTCTTCATCTACTCCCTCAGGCACTCCCCACAATACGCTGAGGGCCTACTGTGTACCAGAGGATACAATAGTAAACAGGCAAGGTATTTAAAACCTTGGCTGTTTATGGTGGCATGTGCCTTCCTGGCACTGGGAAGGTCAAAAGTTTAAGAACATCCTTAGCTACACAGCAAATTCAGAGCCAGCCTGGGCTTCATGAGACCAGCCTCAAAACAACAGAAAGAAACTTTGTCCCCTCAGAGCTCAACACAAACAGGTCCGGGCACTGGCTGTGTGGCCATCTCAATTTCCAACTCATTAAATGTTTGTGAGAACCCCTTGTAAGGGGCTAGAGGGTCCTGCAGCAGGTGGGGACCTAATGTTCTAGCCTTTTGTTGATAACAAATGGAACAGGGAAAGAGATCATCTTTGGCTGCTTCTGGCTGACACCCTCTATTTTTGGCTATGTGAAATAAGCTGCTGTCAGTTCTGTTATAACTGGCAGACATCGTAATCTTTCCCTGTTAGTTGTTCACTTAACAGCTGAAGGAATATTTAATTTTGTCAATAACACTTTCCTCTGGCCAGGTATGGTGGCCCATGTTATAAAATTATGATAGTCAGGAGGCCAAGACAAGAGAATACTATTCAGTCCCACACCAGTCTGCATTCTAGCCACAGACTGAAAACCAGATAGCCCCTATTCTTCCATCAAACTTGGGCCCAGAAATGGGGCTCTTCCTGCTGTCCCTACCACCCAGGCGCTTTCTCTTCTATGGTCTGTGCACTGCAAGAGCAAGAACAGACAAGGAAGGGTGGCCACCCACTTCCAGCACCTCACAGGACATGTCCACCCCACAGGCAGCCCTCACAAGGGCCACTTTGCACTCTGTCAGTACTTTGCACACTCTACCCTATCATAAGGTCCTTTCCACACAGTAGGCACTTTGCACGGAACAGCAAAAAGCCAGGAGGCAAAAAGGAATAGGCCACATCTACCCAAGTCCACCTCACTCTGCCCACCTCCCCTTGGGGAACACCCAGTTCTTGGAGGGATTCCCAGCTGTGGTCAGTGCCATATCCCCATACCCCAGGCCTTATTGCTGGCGAGGCCAGCCCAGCCTACGCAGCCTGGAGCACCCGCAAGCTGAGTGCACACATCACAGCTCTAGTCCCGTCCGCCCACTGCAAGGGCCGCAGGGCTGCTTTCTCGCATCATATTCTCTAGGCCTTCTGCGTCCATCAGATCACAAGAGGAGCACGAGTCCAGAGTCCGTCCTCAGCTTACTGATCACTGTCCTGAGCAGTGGGGATTTGTCAGTGGCCATCTCCACCAGACTATGACCCAAGGACCAAGGCACACCTGCCCTCTTCCACTTCCTGCCACAGCAGGGGCTCAAGGGCACACACACAAACTTAAGTCTTACTACACAGCCAAACTAGACTTGAGTACACCATCCTCCTGCAGGCCTGGCATAAATGTTCTCTTTAGGCTGGCCTCCTCCTGCCTCCAGCTCCTGGGTGCTGGGTTTCTAGGCATGTACTGGGTCTCTCTGATGCTGGGGATGGAACACACCCATATGCTAAGTAAAGTGCCCTCCCATGTGAGCTACACCCAAGCCTAACAACCACCTGTATGCCGCTGCCTCGTGACCAACAACGATTATCCACTAGCCACCATCTTGCCTAGCCTGCCTTCTGGGCACCCTGGGCTCTGTCCACACCTGCCCTTCATCTGAAATTTGTACCAATTCACTTTGTATGTCAGGATCTAAAGGATAGCTGCAGAGCCAGGCCCTGGTGGGCCCTTCCACATTCCCTGCTAGCTAGGCCCAGCTGTGGGTTCACTCGGAGTCCCCTCACAAAGGTGACACTAGCTATACACCCCACCCCTAGGCACCATTCTAACTACTCCAGGCCTTAAACCCTAAGGGGTAGGAATGAAACCACCCAATAACCAGGATAGCACCCCAAAGAGCCCCAGTGCACCCCAGAAACTAAGTTGCTTCCTGTACCCTACAGAGTGCTTACGGCACAGAGCTGGGAATATGGACTGTTTCAGCTCTGCTGAAGTAGAAAGTGACCAGCAGCCCTGTCCACAGTACCAACTATTCAGAAATATAAAGAAAGCACATCCACTCACATTAAAAAAGGATGACTCTACTCCAGGCTCCCTGAATCCCAACTAGCTGGGTGTCCTGTCCTTAGGCCCAAGTAAAGAGGGGAAAAGCCAGGTAAAGGAGATGGGCTTACTCAAGGTCCAGCCATCTAGAGAGGGCAGATCCCAGCCAGCCTGTTCACAAGCATGGGCTGAGGGCAGCAACACTGCCCCCTCCATCTTCACCATCCCAAGGTGCCTCTGCCACCCCCAAGGCCCACTCAGATCAAGCACCCCAGGGGCCTCTGCAGCTGGGCAAAGCAGGCTGGCATTCCAGTGTCAGGTCACGTCCCACATCCCCCAATGCCAACACAGGAGAAAAGAGCACCTCGAGGATTCCACCCCAATAGCCCCAGAGGCTGCCTACACCCCACCCTGCCCAGGGGCAGCAGGAGAAGCAGGCAGGCTTTGATGGACACCTGCCAGTGCTCTCAGAACTGTGAAAGGCTGGCACGGGCTGGAGAAGAGAGTGGCTGTCCTGTTGTTGCTGACACTTAGAGCAGGGGAGGTGAGTCAGGCTGCCTACCCGCAAAGCCCAAGTCTCAGGAGGAACCCAATTCTGGGTCAGGCAGCATGGGTGGCTGCCGGCTGGATGGCCAGAAGCACCAGGCAGAAGATGGTCCCCTCCAGTGACTGACTGATCGCTCCATGTGCTAGGAGATGAAACACAGCTGCTCAGCTTGTGACAATCCTGGGAGGGTAGAGGAGCCACAAGAAGGAAGGAGCAAAGCTCCAGGAACCCCAGCCTGAGCTTGTGATGGGCTCTCTGTGACCACAGATACCCCTCTCCTCACCTGCCTTTCCTCACAGAGAAGATACAGCCTCTTCTGCCCACCTGGGTTCAGCCCCAGGAGCGTCTCCTGATCCCCAGCCTGGTGGGAGCCATAGTGACAGCAAAGAAGAGCTGGGCCCAGGGTACTTGTTCCCCATTCCCAAGTCCCTATGGCAGACATACAAGGCAGCTTGCTCCCTTCAGTCAGCAAGGCGGGGGACTGGAAGGGTGCTGGGAGGAGATTCTGTGACCACCTCCAGCCCATGACTACAGAGTCGGCTCAGCAGCCTCTCAGCTTGACGGCCACTCCCATCTCACAGGAGCAGAGGAAGCCTCACTACCTGGAGGTTCCACCTGCCAGGCCAGGGAGGGCTGTTCAGTGAGGAGGGGAAGGGAGGGGAGGGAAGAGTGTGGTGTGTGTCAGGTCTGGGAGAGCTATTCAGTTTGTGCGTACCCAAGAGTTGTGCCTGCCCTGCTGGGACAGAAAACCCCATACCATCCTCTGAAGCCTGCCTCCTCCAAGGAGGCCCCCACACTCTCTGCTGCAGTGTTGAAAAGATCCAGTGTACACACCTCACATTCTAGCCCACAGGAAGCAGGGTGCAAGGGAAGTTTGGCCCTGAGAGACTAAGGCTAGACTACCTGGCAGCCAGTCATGCCCATCCTGAGGTAACCAGGCTCGCCCAGTCTGCCAGCATAGGAAGTTTCATCTAGCTTCCTCTGCCCTACCTCCCCTGTGAACCTCCCCCCCACACACACACACAACTTGACACTCCAGACAGCCACCCTAACTACTCTCCAGGAGGTGGGGCAAACAGGAACAGCCCCCAATACCAGACAGGGTTTGGTTTTGTTTTTTGAGACAGGGTTTCTCTGTGTAACCCTGGCTGGCCTGGAACTGCCTCCCATAGTGCTGGGATTAAAGGTGTGTGCCACTGCACCCAGCCAGCAAGAGTTGACAGCGGCAGAGGTGATGGCAGAAGTACCTCACTGCCAGGAAAAGCCTCACCAACTCCTGAACTGCCTGGAGCTTGAAGGGGCACTGGCAGCCCCTGGCGCTCGTGTGCCCCAAATGAGTACTTGGGACTATCTGAAGATGCCTCTAGTGTGGGTCTGAAAGGTGAGTCTACCTCCTACACGGAGAAGCACACAGAGCCCCCACCCCCAAGCCTGGCCCAGCCCCCAGTCAGCTGCCGTGAGTCAGCCCCCATAAGCAGGGCAAAGACTTCCTCCCTCCAGGCCTCCCTGGGGACCAAGCTGCAACCCCCACCAGCAGCTGGGGGGGGGGACACATCCGGACAGGCCCCAAGGGGCTGCAGGCCTGGCTCACAAGGAAGCCCAGAGGCTGGCCCCCCCTGCCGACCCTTGACAGGGTTGTGTGGGAGGAAAAATCTTTCAGCCATCTGCTCAGCTGCTGGGTTTCCGGCTGGCCAGGGTGGAGCAGGCCATCAGATCCCTTAGGGACCCGTCTCTTGTCCCTGTGAGAAGAGGGACTCTGGGCTGCACAGCCTAGTGGTGTTAGTGGGACCCAGAGCACTGACCAAAAGACACTGGATGTCCAAATCGTGGGGCCCGAACAGGTGGTATCTAACAGTGGCCAACGACATGCAGCCATGCCTGAGACCTACCCAGTCCCTGAGGGACCTCAAGGCCCCGGAAGCTGTAAGCTGGGGTACAGGACTCCTGGGTCCAATTAGGCATGACTCAGCCAGTGACCCCCACTGAATCATTTCCCCTAGGCAGCCTGCCAGCCTCAGTTTCCTCAGGAGGGTGGGTGGCTGGCTGGGAACAAGCCTAGTAGGAGCAAGCAGAGCCCCTCCAGACACTCCAGATGGAAGCCGCTTCCTGCCCTACCCCGCCCAAACAGAGATTCTCAACACCCCGGAGCCCTGGGGACCATTTTCCCAGGAAACCTGGCAATTAAGTGCCTGCCCCTCCTGGATTACTAGCAGTAGCTTGAATTTACTAAGCACCAACCTCATGCCCACACTGCATGCCTCTCTCAGAACAGCTGTCCTTCAGCACCTCCACCTCAGAGTTCTGCCAACACTTGTAGTTCAGAGATGGTAAAAGACAAGCCTCAGACCTCAGAGCAAAGGCAGTTACAACCAACCTAGTTCAAATGTCTAGCCCTTGCTGGGCTCCTACATGGCACACAGCCACCCTAGAGGGGCAAGAGATTTGGCTCACACTCGGCAGGTCCCAAGAGATGTCAGGTGACTGACCCAGGGCCTCACCCCGAAGCTAGCAGAGTCTGGATTAGTTTCTATGAGAGTGCTGCTCCAGGGACAAGTGGGCACTAGGAAAAGAACTGTCGTGTCAACGATACTTACGCTCCATCTCTGCATGCCAGACTCCACCAGTTAAAACCCTTCCCACTCCTAAAGACTTCATTACTTCCGAGAAGCTAAATGACCACCCAAAGATCCACAGCAATGGGAAATTCAGAAGCCAACTAGCCTCAAAGGTGGGCCTGACCCCAAAGACCTGCTCTGCAAAGAGTAAGATATAGGCCCAGGCTGTATAGCTCTGTGAAGTCACCAGAAGTCTCTATCAGCCAACCTGAGGGTGGCCCAGCAGGACCAGATATCCCGAGGTCTGTAAGCTGACTGCACAGCCCAGCTGCTCCAAGAACCTCACTTGTCTAAGAAGGTTGTCTCTTGAACAGAGAGGACCAGGCACTGGGTGACAAAGAGTCAGGAAGGAAGAGCAGCAGAAATGACCTCACCATAACAGATAACACCCTTGTCATGCCTGCCTGCCCTCCTGATCAAGACTCTCTGTGCCCTGGTGGCCCTCACAATTAGGTGTCAACGAGGAACGAGGAGACAAAGGAGGGGCTGTCATCTGACCCTGCCCAGGTCTTCAGAGTGCCCTGCCCAAAGACTTGGGAAACCCCAGAGCAGCCGGGGTCAATAAAACAGGACACTGTGAAAACAGCCTGTAATTGAGCCCTTCTCGCTGCCAGGCGCAGGTGCCTTCCCCTTCCACGCTCTGCCTCATTAAAACTACACCTCATTAAAACTGCACTGCAACTCTCTTAGTCCTCACTCAGCAGAGGGAAAACGGGTCATGGCCCTCAACTTGGAAAGCAGAGTAGAGAGAATACAAATGCTGCCTCGAGGGCCCTGTTTCTTCTCTTCTGCCACTGCCCAGCCCTTGAGGGTGCTTCGGGGCAACCCCTTCCTAGCTGGCCGCCCCCACCCACCCTTCCGTGGCCCACAGGGACTGAACAAGTTCCCGAATGTATTCACACCTTGGCCCAGACGGAGTTCCCTCCCGGCGGGACCACGGCGACTGTGGGACAAAGCTCATCAAGTGTCCTACGTGTAAAACCCTCACAACTTCCCCACTGGCTCTGGCCTGTCATGCCCTACCCCACGCCTCCCCCCTCCCAAGATCTCTGCCCGCTTTCGCCTTTAGGGCTCGGTATGCCACCCCTGTGGATCACCAGGACCCTAGTGACACACATGTCCAATCCCCTGGCAGGGGCCAAGCACGCTGTGTCCCCGGGAAAGCTCTCGGTTCCTCCCGCGGCGCCCCATCAGGCCCCTCGCTGGAGGCCCCAGCTGCAAGCACTGACCTCCGCGCCCACATCACTGCGGTCTGGGATTGGGGAAGAGAAACAAAATGAGGAAACGCCAGAAAACAGAAGCGGGACGCGGGCGGCCGCCCAGCCCAGTTCCTCCAACGCGCTCGGCGGGCCGCGCTTACCGCGCAAGCTGCGGGTCGAGGCCCGGCCGGCCCATGGCGTCGTACGGCCTCTCGACGCTCAGGCAGGAAACCCCGGCTCGGAAAACGGCCAGCGCCTCATTTCCGCCACCAGCGCCTGACAGCAGCCGGGGGACGCGGCCCCGGGCCGCCACCGGGACGGTGCTGCTGCTGCTGCCGCCGCCGCCGCCGCCGCCGCCGCTATGGACCCCGTGGCCGGTGACAGTCTGGGCGGGCTGACGGCCAGGCGGAGGCGACGGCCCGAGCCCATGCCGCCCCGCGCCGTTATGTAAAGAGGAACCGGTCGCGAGCCTCCGGCGGCCGCGGAGGGCGGCCTGGGGGCGGGGCTACGACAAGCCACGCCCCGTCTGCCGCCTGCGGAGCCCGGACGGCGGGCTAGGCCCCGCCCTCCCCGCGCTGCCTCGGCCTGCCAACCGGTGGGAGGCAGAATATGGACAAGCTCCGCCCCCAAAAGGCGCGCTCCCTACCCCCAAGTCGCGTCGCGCCCCCTAAAGAAAGGGGAGGAAATCGCAAAGGGCGCCCGAGCCGACCAGTCACACGTGCTTCGGCGGGGCGGGGCTCCTGAGGGGGCGGGGCGGGGCCATGCGCGGTGGGCGGGGCCACGCCCGCGGTGGGCGGGGCCGGCCGACCTTCGGGACCTCGTGGGGGCGCGCCCCTACGGAGTCCCTTCAGCCGGGCCTTATCTGCGCTTGCCTGGCCGGGTCTAGCCACCGCGACCCAGGCTTTCATCACCTCCCGGGGAGGGTCCCCGCCCCGCCCAGGCCGCACCATCCCCGGCTCTCCCGAGCCGACCTGCTCCGGCAGCGCCATCCATTCGGGTTCCGCTCCCCTCCTAAAATCCTCGAAGTCCCGGAACGGGCCTAGTAGGCTCTTTTCTACCTGGCCGCCCCCGCTGCTCTCTACTTTGATGCGACTTTCTCCAAGAACTCCTCCGAACCCCAGGCAATCAAGCCCTTTGAGTTCACACATCCGAGCGCCCCGTAGCCCTTTACCTTTTCTCTATCGCCACATGGGGGTGCGGCTAACACACAGTGGGGGGCCCCTGTTCTGAAGTGGAGTCACTGCGCGCCAGTCTTCCCCGCGGCACTAGGGAGGGAGGGGAAAGAGGAATGCCTGTCCCTTTCCCCTCCCCCAACAGGAAGCAGGCCGCCTACGCCCCCAGCTTGGAGGGGCCACTGCAAGCCTTCCCAGACGACAGGCTCCCACGAGCCACTGGCTCCCTACCGCCACCGCCCCTCCCTTGCTGCTGGGATCAAATACTTGTCCCCTCCAACTCAGTTTCTTCATCTATGAAATGGAAATAACACGTGTCCCCAGCCCACTCGGGGACTGGAAGGAGTGAGTTGCCTGCAGTAGGGCAGTTAAGCTTCAGTCCCCAGGCCTGCTGTTGGAGCCCCAGGAAGGGACTCCCCCACAGGTGGGGGATTTCCACTCCAGTCGGTCGGCATCAAGCAGGCATCAAGCAGGGGGCGTTGTTGTAAGTAATAATATTTACTATTGATATATCTTTTGGTAAAGCTGCTGTTAATCCTAAACAGCTGTATACCCAAATCACCACACAGACTGGAATTTATTTAATTAACCTAGAACATAATGCAGGGTAATAGTTGTTCCATCCTAAACCTCCAAGCCCTCAGTCTCCTAACATTTAGATTTCCCACATTATACTTGCTTTTGTGATACATTAGGTCCAGTCCATCTCTCTACACCCGTTCCAAGATCTCTCTCCTGCCTCTCTTCTCCCAGCTCTTCCTCCCCTTTTGCCTCCCACTCTTTTCCTATCCTTTGGCTCCTCCCCTCTTTCCTGTCCTCTGGCTCCTCCCTTCTATTGCTCCACATCGTGGCTGGTTGTTTTATTTTGGATGTTTACACAAAGTTGAGACAGGTGATGCTTAGAGTAAGTATCACAATGCAGTATCCAGATTGAAACCAAAGAGTGGGGGAGAGAAATCAGCATTTGAATGAACAAGGGTAAAGTGTACACATTTCAAAAGAACATTATACCAACATTTCCCCCTTTAAGTCCAATAAAAGGCTCCTTTTCTTTCAATACAATAATAATTATGAAAACTGTTAGGTAAAATCTACATGTGCAATGTCCAGTCCATGTGTATTTAGCAACTTAGGGGAATGTATCTGATTATCCTACCTATCTTGACAAGTTTAAAGTTCTATACCTAAATTAACTTTTATCCTAATTGGTATTACCTATATCAAAGGATTTCTTAACTTCTAAACAACTTAAGCTTAATTGTGGCACTATAACGATTTGGTCTTCTGCCCCATCAGAGACTTGAGAAGGAATAAAATTAGTTTTTAAGTAAATAGGAAATGCATGTTAGCAGCTTCCAAAAAATAAAAATTGACAGACACTTTGCTGCCCTAACAGTCAGTCACCCATAACTCTCTATAATGTTGGAGCATCATCTTCAGCCTTCTGGCTCAGAATATTTGACAGACATAAATGTGAAGCAGGAGCTGTTTAGGACTTGCTTACCGTAACTGTCTTGGCAGAGTTTGGCAGTCGCCTTGTCCTGCATTTAAGCTTGCCCATTTTTGGCAGAAATCTGTCTGTGATGAAGCAAGGGTATTTTCTTTACCAGAGTGGCTCGTTTGCCACATTTGAACCCATCTCCATAAGGAGGTTCTTCGATGCTCATTATCTTCTTTGAGGTAGGCGGGTGCTTCCAGGAGATGACTTGTCTTATTGTCAAAGAATCTTTAAAATAATAAAGACACTTTTAAATGCCATATTCTGTAGGTCTCTGAAGTTTTTGAAGACTACCTATCTTTATGTAATAGATCTATCTACAAAATCATATCTATCTGTTAAACTTAGGATGTATACTCCTGTAATAAATTAGACTAGTGTCTGACATAACTATGAGTTCAATAACTAGGAATTAACTTGCATTACTTAATATCCTAACCAATTTTTAATAGCAGTTTAAAAGTATTAGAAGTAATCTTGACTTTGTATCAATATACTAAAGCTTATACCAACGTATCAAAAATAAACTTATTTTTGCATCAATATGCAAAATCCTATACCAGAGTTCAAATTAACCTTATTTGAGAATAACAAATAAAACCCTAAGTTGAGTAGATTCAATAATCTACCTTTTGTCTTACTCCTTTAAGATATCCCTGTATATTCCTTGTTTCACTTTGAATAAGACCATTAATAATTTATAAACATCTCCCAATGACAGTAAAATTCATAGCCATAGAAAACAACCAAAAACATACCCAACCGCCTTTAAGAAAAATTGGACGTCATTCTCATGGATTTCTTCTAGCTGACATTTTGGACACGCAGAAATCCTATTAGGGGGCCCAAAGAAAATTGGTTAATTAAGCAAGCAATAACATTTGTGGTCCAGTCTTTGAATGTTGAGAAATTTCAGGCTTAATAAAAGTCCTCTTTGGAACAGTCTAAAATGCTGGACCAATTAAGATTAGTAGCTTTCTTCAAAGTTCTTTTGGGTGCAGGCTTTGATGAGAAATAGCAAATGAAGCAGTTGGGGCAGGAACAAGCAGAATGCTGGAACATGTAAGATGCTGGAACAGATGTGTCAATGTCTCAGCACACTGGAAGGATGGATCCTGTGAGGTTTGATCCAACGTCTCTGGTGTCCAGTTCTTTTGTTCTGCAAACATATAACTTCTCAAAGCATTATACAGTTCTAAAATTATAAATGTATGAGATATTCAGGATGAAACTAAACTGTAAGCCAATTTTATCTATGCAATTAAAAGATTAGCATAATACATTTTGAGGATATTATAGCCAAGGATTTATTGGCCAAGTATTATTGGAGTTCTGGAGACATATTTTATGTCTCAGTCAGTTTTAGAGTTGTAAAGGGATCAGCAACATAAGTTAGCATTATTATTGAACATACAATCGTTATCATGTTGAAATCAAAACACGGTTGGATAGATTAAAATATATTTTTTGGTCTCTTGCATACCTGTTGTATTAGGCAGGCTGCTACCTATTTCCCTAGAGAAGCCTCCCATTAAAGAGACAAGCTCGTTGCCTTGAGCAATAGAAAACGAAGAAACTTTATATAAACTCCTTTTTAATTTAGAAGATACCATAGGTATCTTGTATCTGTTTAGAGATTTAGGCGTAGGTTTTTATATATGTTGTAGTTCTTTGTCCTGTCCTTTTTTTATATATAGAATGGGTAGTTATGCCTTTATAGCCAAATTTTATACAAACTCCCTCTTACCTTTAGTATTTAAGCATACCCTAGGCATCTTGTATCTGGTTTTACATTGGTTGTGGCTATTTTTTGGCTTGCTCCTTTTTTATACAGGATGGGCAGTTTTGTTTTTTAAACATAAGAATATAATTTTTGAGTTTTTAGGACTAAACTAGGTTGGCATGTACTTTGCCATCTTTAAGCCTCTAGTGTCTTTTTTACATAGGCATTACTAACAGTTTTTCCCCTGTGAAAATGTCTCATGTTTAAAAGAATAAGGCAGTTTCCAGAGCAGTGTGACATCTCTCTTTCCATAAACCTAAAAATTATGTGAATCCCACCTTTAGATTAGTAAAGACATAACATCTATTATTAAGGAAAAATAATTTACATGGTAACCTTAAGGAAAATTTTGCCATTTTGAATCTTAGACTATCTCGGTAAGTGGCTAAACAGCAGGAGTTGCCATCCTGACTTTTATTATGTAAATTAGCTTGATCCTGAACTCAGAAACTTGCCTGTTTCTTTTTACTTTGTGTTGGGAAGAAAGGCATGTGCCTTCACCAACTTGTTCAAATACATACACACACACACACACACACACACATATGTGTGTGTATATATATATATACGTATATGTATATATATATGTATATATATAGTTTCAAATCAGTATTATTGTAACTCAAAGCCTTTAAATGAAAATCAAGCAAAGAGACAAGAAAATATTAAGTTTGGGGTCAGTTGTGCCAATTTACGCTATAACAAACAAAGCCCATTTGGTTATTTTTTTTTGGAATTTAGTTGATGTTTTAGTAAATTGGCAGACCCTTACCAGAAAGAGCTGACAAGTATCTTGCAGCCAGAGAGCTTTGACTTTTAGCCATTATTAATCTAATTATTAGGAAGAGTACCCTTTTTCTTGTCTGTAACTTAGTACCCCAATCCTTGTTTTTTCCCCCCATTTTCTCCTTGAACTTTCTTGGAGAAGGCATGGAGAAGAGCCATCACCATTAAACATATTGCAACCAGATCCATGACTATGACAGCCAAAACGAAGCCAAAAGGGATTAAAATTCCCTCTGCCATGGCAATTTTTTTTTCTTTTTTTCTTTTTTTTTAGATGCAGTTTAGGCCAAACTCTGTCTAGAGGTTTGTCTGCCTCCAGTTCCTTTCTTTCCTGCCATGGTGGTGGAGCTGAGCTTGGAGCTGAGCTGAGCTGAGCCACAGTATAAAGAAGACATACATGCTCCTGTAACCCTCCAGTGAGACTATAGCAGCAGGCAGTTTTGTTAAATCTCAGGTCTGCCCACAGGAGGCTGACTTTTGCTCCTGGGCAGGTTGAAGAGTCTTTCTTGAAGAGACAATAATTGATCTGGGAGGTTTTGAGTTTGGGTTTTATCACTGGGCGCTTATTCCCCCCACCAAATTATGATAAAGTATGATTTAAAGGGTGTGGATACTGAGATTAGTTGGGTGCCATTTGTTGTAGGTGACAATTAATATTTACTATTGCTCTCTCTTCTGGTAATGCTGCTATTAATCCTAAACAGCTGTATACCCAGATCACCAGACAGACACGGATTTATTCAGCTAACCTCGAGCAATATGCTGGCCAATAGTTGTTCCATCCTAAACCTCCAAGCCCGCATGGTTTCCTAACATTTAGATTTCCCACATTATACTTGCTTTTGTGAGACATTAGGTCCGGTCCATCTCTCCATGTCATTCCAAGATCTCTCTCCTGCCTCTCTTCTCCCAGCTCTCCCTCCCCCTTTTGCCTCCCACTGTTTTTTTGTTTGTTTGTTTGTTTTGAATGGCTTGGAAGAAGCCACAAAACAAACGTGGGAAGGCGAAAGCTACGGTGGGATAGGTAATGTACGGTGCTTATGGACACGAATTATTCCCTCGTGGGGGAGGCACGGTGGTTAGGAGACAGCACCCTGACAACCAGTTGTGGATGGAGGGGGCTGTACTGGCTAAGGGAGACTAAGGGAGAAAAATATTTGAGTGATAGTCGACCTGAGGCCTCCCACATAAAGAGAGGAAAAGGCCTTAGGAGCCAAAGGAATGGCAAACGCAAAGGCCCTGGAGGTGCCTTGTTAGAAAGTAGAAACGGCCCCACCTACAAAGAAACACGTTGGCCTACACGTGGTGTCTTGAAGTTCTTGGTGCGGAGTCCGTTTTTGTCTGTCTGTCTGTCTGTCTGTCTGTTTGTTTTGGAGGGTGGTTCTTCCTGAGCGCACCGGGGAGCCACGAAGAATCGTGAGGAAGAGAAGGCCAGACAGAGCCTGGGCTGTTGTCGCCGTTCTGGTGTCCTCTCGAAAGATGCAGGATCTGAGGAGGAAGGAGGGCTTCCGTGAAGTCCAGCCTGGTTGGCCCACAGCGCAGCCCTTCCAGCACCTGGGGCGACGGCAGCCTCTCGGTGGCCAGGAGGCCCCGCGGCCGGCGCAGCAGGTACTGGCACCCTTTGCCAAAAGGTGGCTGCAATCTGCCAGCCGCAAGCACTTTCCCTCTCGCAGCCGGCTGCAGCCCTGCTGAGTTAAACGGGGACTTGTGGTTCTTCCTCTTTTTAATCACAGGCCAGCCCTGCCTGCCAGATTTCTCCGAGGCCCAAACCCGTTTCCTTCCTCGCTCAGTTTCTTCTCGCCCCGCGGGCCCGCCCCAGTCTGGGTTGCCTGAGAGCCCTGCGTCGTCAGAGTCTTCTATTTATTTGTGTTTTGTTCCTTCCAAGGGCAAAGGGCTCCAAGGCGGACCCTGCGGTGACAGCCGCGACCCCTGGGCTATGCGCTCCCCACCCCCACCCCCGACCTGACTCCTCCCACCCAGCACTGCTGGGTTTGGCGGAAGGGGCATGCCAGTTCCCACGGCTGGCGGGGGCTGGCGGGGACTGCCGGAAGCAGGCTGTCCACTCCCAGGGGCCGGGCCACCCGCCCTTCCTTCCTGCTGAGGGCAGCAGCACAGGGTCCACCTGCAGGAGCCTTGGTGGCCAGGTCAGAAGGACAACCAAACCTAGCAACTAACAGGTTCTGTAAGTCAACAAGGTCAGTGCCCTAATAGTCACCTTAATGTCAACCAGGTTCAGTGAGTGACAAGAGGCCAGCACTTAAGATGCTGAGACAGGGGCATCAGTTCAAGGCCAGCCTACTGAGTTGGAACCTGCCTGGGCTACATGAAGTGCCATCTCAAATCAAACAAACCCGACAGCAAAAATGAAAGTTAACCAGGGCCAAGAGTGTATATAGCAAGTAAGTCTATAATCCAAGTCATTCATACTGTTAGTGTAAGTAGCAACAAAAAATAACAGGCTAGGGGGTGGCAGTGCTTAGTGCCAGCACGAGAACCTGAGGAAGGGTGCCTGCTGTCAAGCCTGATGCCTTAAATTCTGTCTCTGGGACCCACACAGCGGAAGGAGCAATAGATTCTCTTATGTTGTCCTCTGACCTCCACAAAGGTGCATGCCACAGGCTTCCCCCACCGGCTCCCTCAGAGGAAATGTGTGCAAGTTTTTAAATATAGTCTGAGACAGAGTGTAACTATGCAAGCCCAAGCTGACCCGAAACTCTTGGTCCTCCTGCCTTGGCCTCCCCAAATTCTAGCATTAACAGGCAGTTGCCAATCCCAGATTCCATTTTGGCCCTCACCCTTCTTCATGACCTCGAGTCACAGCAGCTGAAACTGCACCTGAATTACCCAAACCATGAGAGAGTGAAGGAGAGTGTTTCCTAGCCAAGGACTGAGTCGGGGAGGAAGCTGTTCCACAGCAGTTGCTAGCTATGACAGAGTTTACGGTCGTTCCAAGGCGTCCATCTGATCTGCTCCCCATACATGGATGCAGCAATGCCAGACAGGGCCCAGGAAAGCAGCCTTGGCTTTGGCGTAGCTGCCGCACATCTGCTGTGGCTCTTGCCACAAGGCGCTCACAACTCCCAAGCAGCATGCCTGATGTGGGTCGGTTCTGCTGACTTCAGGAACCAGGTGCCATCTATTCCCTCTGCTTCCTCCCTGGGGCTAGGGTTCCCTTTTCTGTGCTCTCTGCCCCTTCCATGTGAAAACTGCCACAGGTCCTTGCTCAATGCAAGTATGGTCAGGCGTCAGCCTCTGTGTGCCCAGCCAAGGCCACGCCTGCCATGAAGGAAGAGGCTGTTTGTTCATTTGCCCTATTTGTTTGAGGAGACTGGAGCCCAGAGCACCCGGATGACCCCAGGTCACACAGCTGCTGAAGGACTGAGGCAGACACTCAGGACTCCTGACTGGGGGTTTACTGCAGAGCCGGGGGCACCATCACCTACTGTTCCCAGTACCAGAAATAAAGACAGCAACGGGAGAATAATAGATAACCTGTGAAGTGTTTGTTTTGAGACCGTAGCCTAGGGTGTCCTGGAATTCACTGAGTAGCCCAGGCTGGCTCAGCGCTTGCAGCTCCTGCCTGAGTTCTGGGTTTACAGCTGCGGGCCATCTCACCTGGGTCCTGTGGAAACGATTTGGAAGGTCGTCCACAGACCCCCAACACTATGCAGGGGAAGGGGGCTGCTCTTCTCAGCTTGACAGAGGAAGAAACTGAGTCACAGAGACGCAGGTGCCCTCGACAAGACCTGCAGAGCGGTGCAACAGCCAGCAGAAACCAGCACCCCGCTTCCCGCCCGACCCCCTAAACCCTGTTAGATTCTGGTCTTGGCTTCAGTCCAGTTCTGGCCAGCACCCGGCCGCAGAGAAGCGCAGCCGCCCCCTCTTCCGCCAGCCCTGGGAATCTGGTTTCTGGGGAAGTGACTCAGTGCTCTGAGGCCCCACGAGGCGTGTCCACTTCCAATCCCGGTAATTAAAGGCCCTAATTGCTCCGCAGCTCGCAGCTCGGGTCCCTCCCGGATCCTCGCGCGCTTCCTGGGCAGGAGCCTGGCGACAGCGGTTGACACGAGGCTCGCGTGCCCCCTGCTGGTCATGGGCGGCTGCACAGCAGCAGCTGCCTCGCTGAAATCCAGGCACCCGGGGCTGCTGGGAGGACCCGGGTTTTCCCCCTTAAGAGGCACTTTAAAAAAAAAAAAAAAAAAAAATCAATTATTTGGTCATACACACACTCACACACACAGAGAGACAGAAAAATGGATCCCAGGGTCTGGCATGGCCTGGGCCACAGGTGTACCTCTGAACCACGCCCCCAGCGATATGGGATCTTCCAGCCTTCATTTCCTCATCCATAAAACAAGGATAAGAAGGAACCCTAAGCTTGGCATGGTGGCACACTTTAATCCCTGCACTCAGAGGCAAGCGGGTATCTGTGAGTCTGAAGCCAGCCTGGTCTACATAGCGAGGCCAGACCAGCCAGAGGTACACAGTGAGACCCTGAGAAAACAGAACAAAACCACAAATAAGTAAATGAACAGCTCTACTTGGTTGGCTTGCAGTGAAAATCGGGTCAAAGACTTCATTTCATGTGGAAGTCTGTTACACAGTAAATGTTATTAAATTGCTGTTATCAGTTATTTGCAAGGTACCGATCTGGTGGTATCTGCCCCTTGCACACATACTCTAAAGCCCTCCATAGATCCCTATTACCTCACCTTTCGTCAGGAAGCACCAAACACCTATGCCCCAGGCGAGGGACGCTTCCCCGGTCTGTTCTCCCGGACTTTCTGCTATGCTTTCCATTTCCTCTCCCTTTCTCCTACGCACCTTTCAAAACCACCTGAAACCACCTGAAACGTGACCTCTGTCTAAAGACAGCCCTAGTTCCCTGGGGTGTAGCTTTCTCTGACAGAGGGTGGCCTTGTCTCTTAAGCAGGGCTTAGTCACTAGCCTAAGTCCCTGGAAGGACGGAGCTGGTGTTCTCTCTCAGAGTCCTCTAGGAGGAGGCTGGCACTTGTAGTCACTCGTGGCCTTGGTGTTCATCTGGTTTCCCTTAAGGAAGCTTCCACCACACTATAGCAACAGTGTCATGTTCTATTCCTTTTGATGGCTGAGTAAGATTCCATCGTGTGGGTGTACCACACATGTGCTGGAACCTTGGGGAGCAACCCGGCACCATAGCTCTTGCCTGTGTGAGTGGGGCTGGGGTTCCCCCTCAGCACTGCAGGAATACACTGAGGCACGCCAGCAGGCAGCTCCTTAGTGCTGGAAGCCGGTGGCTAGATAGCCCAGGCTGGTGAAAGCAGCCTGAGGTCTGAGAGCTTCATAAGCCTCAGTCCCCTCATCTGCAAAACGAGGGAGGGCGAGAACAGCACCCACCTGTCCTAGGCAGGCTCACTACCACTTCGATGGAAGCCAGAAGCAAGCTGGGGAGGAAAGGGTTTATTTGGCCACTTCCACATCCATCGCGGTTCATCACTGAAGGAAGTCCTCCCAGCCTTACAGATCTGCTGGGTGACAGCCCCTGCTCTCTGTGTGCGGCAGAGGAGGGCTCTGAAGGGAGGTCTCTGCTCTTTCGTGTCCTGGGCTGGCTTGTGGGCACCACTTCCTTCTTGGGGGCAGCTCCAGGGGAGAGCTTTGTGGCTGGCCAACCCCAGGCTTCCTTCTGTCCTCACCTCCGGAAAGCTGGGGTTACAGATGCACACTGGGTGCCTGGCTCTCTATGTGGGTTCTGCGCTCCTGAACTAAGGTGGGCATGCTTTCATGGCGAGCAATTTCCTAACTGACTCCCCCCAGCCCCATCCGTGTGAATTTGTAAACTATTATATTTGCTTATCTGTTGTGCTTCCCACAACACACGTGCGGACGTCCCAGACAACTTTGGGAAGTTGATCCTTTCTCCTCGAGGGCCCAACTCAAGTTGCAAGCCTCAGTGGCAAGCAGCTTTACCTGCTGAGCCAACTCACTGGCCCAGCTTGGGTTTTAGCTTGTTTGTTTGTTTGTTTTTGTTTTCAACTTATTACCTGCGACAGCAGGATGCTCTGTAAATGCCACTGGTTGAGTGACTAACTAGAAGGAAGGTAGGGAACTCAGAATAAAGACGGGATGGGCGTCACCTGCCTTCCTTGAAGAAGAAGCGGACCAGTGAAGATCAGAATGGTCAGCCAACTATGGGAGGGTGCAGGGAGTCTTCTGGAAAAGCAGACAGGGAGGAGGAGGTCTGGGGCACAGTGCATTCTGGAATGCAGGGAGGGCAGGTGGCAGAGGATAGGAGGAGAGAGAGAGAGGAAACCAACGGTGTGTGAGGAGGCTGGAGGAGAGAGCTGGTGGAAAGGGCCTGTGCAAAGAAGGCTCTGTGGCTGGCAGGGAGCAATTTGGACTTGGTCCTGAGGTCTGAGGAGCATGACATGCCTTTAACCAAGAGAATGGCAGGATTTGGTTTGTGGCTGCTTGGTGGAAGTAGAGAATGGAGCCCAGGGCCCAGGGGGTCCAAAGAGGAGAGGGAGAGCAGAAGGGACCATGACTGGGAAGAGCAGGTCGAGATGGGAAGTGCTGGATTTGAGACGTGGTTTTGGAGGCAAAACCATATCCTTGGCCACAGCTCAGTGTCGGTTCCTTAATTCCACTTTTTGGCCTTTCTAATTCATGGTCCCTCCCACCCATCTTCAGTCCCCAGCCACAAAGGTATTGGCTGCTCGAAGCAGCTGGAAGGTGGAGGCAGCCAAGGGCCCCTCGGTGGATAGGCAGATAAACCAAATACTTTCTGTGACAACAATGGGACATTACTCAGCCATGGAAAGGACAGAATGCCAACCAGCACCAACTGGCCTCGAGCCCAGAAGAGGGAAATACACCAGGAACAAAGGACATGGATCCTGTGAACCTGCATGTGGACTCCACAGAGACACAAGGATGTCTGAGGTTTTCTAGGGCTGGGGAATGCGGACTCAGTCTCCCTTTTTTGATGAAGCTGGGAACCTTGCCATCATCTGGGGCTTCATACATGCTAGGAAGGCACTCTACCACTGAGCTAGATCTTCTAGAATCTTTTTCTGAGGTAATAATGTCTTGTAGGTGGGCATGGTGCAGCTTGCCTGTAGTTCTTACACTTGGGATGTGGAGGCAAGAGAAGAGTGAATTCAGGCCCTGTCTGGGCTATATAATGAGGGTCCTATCTCAGCAAACAAACAAACAAACAAACAAACCAGCCTGCAACATTGGGAATGCAGCAAATGCAATCAGATTGTTTGCTTTAAAACAGATTTTTCAAATGACTTTGACTTCCATTAAAATAATAATAATAATAAAATAAAGGCTGGGCAATAGTGGCACACCTTTAATCTCAGCACTGGGGAGGCAGAAACAGGCCTCCACCTCTGTGAGTTTGAGGCCAGTGACAGCCAGGGCTACACAGAGAAACCCTGTCTTGAAAAACCCAACCCAACCCAACCCAAACCCAAAATCCCATGAATAATAAAGAACCAAACCCCCCTGTTTGCTTCGGATATTTGTCCCTTCACTTTTTGTGTGACTTTCCTTGGGGTGACAGAACAAATGTACTTACCCCAAATAGGGACTGCAGCATTTGGACAGAGCAAAGGAAAGAATCCCCCGAAAAGTCCGATTTGGCGAGTCAGCGATTTACTGGACTTGCTTACAGAGAACACGGGCCGGGGCCACTTACAGAGCAGGGTGACCCCGAGCAGCAACCGCCAGAGAGTCCCCTCACTGTTGCACAGATGGAGACTTTCAGGCGACCTTGCGTAGTTTAGATACTTGTGCCTTCAGAGGGCAGGGACCACGAGGACCCATGGCCCTGCAGCTGGGGCGGAAGCACATACAGTTGGGAAGGAGGTGCAGGGGAGAGGAGCTGAGACAGGACGTGAGGGACAATGAACCCACCTACTCCTCAGCAGTCACCCTGCTCTGCTTGGTCCTCCTGGGCTTGGCCTGGTCCCCTGTCCATCTCTGAAGCAACCACCATGATCGGGTCACCATCCATAGCTGAGCCCTTCACTCCATCTGATTGCTTGTCCTCAAGCCAGTGGCTCCAGGATACAAGTAATTGTTTGTGGCAGCCATGTTGAATGGAGGCAGGCGGGGACTGGCTGGCTGACCACTGATCGTGTGGTGACTGGAGAGCAGCTAGGCCGCTCACTGACAACTGACAAATGACAGGCCACTCACTGACTGACCACCTAACTGACGGGACAGATGACTGAGCTCTGACTGACGGACCTCTGAATAAACTCTCACAGACCCAGGACTGATTGACTGACAACCAGGGAACACTGATGACTGATCACCAGGCTGAGGAGAATTGACTGACATCTAGGCTGATTGCTGATTAACTGGGTGAGGACTGACAACGGGCTGACTGACAGGCAAACTGCTGGCCTGACTGACATCTGACTGGCAACCGACCTACGGAGAACGACCTAACTGGCTGAGTGACGTGACTGAAGGAAGACTGAACAGTGACTGGCTGAGGATTACTGACAGCAGACAGGCTGGCTGACTGCCGACTGACAGGACTGACTGAGGACCTACCGACCACCACAACTGATGATTGGTGACTGATCAACTAATTTCTTCTCCTTTTCCCTCCTTTCCTCCCTCCCTCAGGAAGGCTGGGACTTCCCCCTCACTCCCCTCCAGTTCCCCCCCTGGAAGTCTTCCAGGACAGCTCTCACAGCTCTCGAGTTGATGTCTGTGTTCTGCTTGGCGTCAGTCTTCATCTGGCTGTGACGTATAGAGCAGGCTTTATCTTTCTAGATGGCTCCCTGCTGGCTGCAGTTCAGTTTGCTAAAACCTACTCTGGACTCTTCCTGTCCAAATGCCCCAGTTATGTCCGTTACTCAGGCCCAAAGACGTGGGTTCACTTTGAACCCCTTTTCTGAGTCTCTCATCTCCTAATGGAAGCCATCAGCGATTCTTGCATGTATCTTTAAAACACGTACAAAGTACTTACTCCACGCTTCCGTTTTTCCCTCTCTGTCCTCCAAGTTGCCATCACAATTTGCCCAGACCACTGCAGTGTTCTTATTCTTATTTCTATTTAGAGACAGGGTGTTGCTATACAGCTGTAGCTTTGCGGCTATTCTCCTGCCTCTGCCTCCTGACTGCTGGAATTACAAGTGTGTGTGACCGTGACCACGCATGCCGGAAAGCAAAGTTTCCCCCAAGTTTGCCGGGTCCCATGCAACGTTGCTGTGTAAGAGCCTTCAGCCAACTTCTCACTGCCCTCCTCTGAGCCTTTGCAAGCGTTGTTCCTTCCACCCGGCGCACCCTCCCTGCAGGTCTCCGGTGGGCTAGGACGCTGTTCTCCGGCTGTTTCCTATTCTCTTCCTCACACCAAACACAACTGTTTGTTGATCACTCCTGGCCCTTTCCCTTTGGAGCAGGCTGCACACAGTAGGCGCTAGTGAGCCGCTGCGGAATGAAGCAGGGATCCTGGTCTGTCCTGTTTGCTCTCGTCCTCAGGCTAGGAGGGCCTGGGATAGGAAGGTAGAAGGAAGTGAGGAGGAGGAAGAAAGAACAGGAAGTGAAGCATTCTGAGAGGTGGAACCGTGTTATTTTGGGAAAACAAGGGGAAAGAAAGAAAAACCCTAGCAATTCCTACTTACTGGGAACGCCTGCAGCTGAGTCACCCTGTAAATACTCCGCTTGCCTTTATATTTTACAGAGTAGACATGGAAGCCCAGAGAAGCCGAGGTACTGCTTGGAGGTCTCGCCGAGGTGGGCCCCCAGCTGGGCTCCTTCCGGGAACTCTCTCTCTTCACCTGTTTGGAAGTGTCTGGATGGCTCGGTACCCTGTAGGTTTACAGCAGACCTGTGTTGATTTTGTCCGAAAACGCCATGGGTTGATTTTTTTTTTTTTTTTTTTTTTCTAAAGACGGACTCTCACTATGGAAGTCCTGGCTAGCCTGGAACTGGATATTTAGATTAGGCGGGCCTTGAACTCACCGAGATCCACCTGCCTCTGCCTTCAGAGTGCTGGGATTAAAGTTGTGCACCGGCCGCCTCGCAAGCTTTGTGTCTTTAATTTACGAAGCTGCACTAAATTAAATTGTGTCTTTAATTTACGAAGTTTTTCCCGCGGCTCAAACGGTCCGGTTTTCTGGGACAGAACTCCGGGGACTCCTGAGCTCGGCACGGTCCCTTTAAGAGCGGTTTCCAGGCGTGCGTGGGCGGGGCGTGGCAAACTCGGGGGCGGGGCTTGGCGGGAATGACCAATGGGCAGGCGTGTGTGGCTCGGGGGCGGGCCCCTCCGGGGCGGACCGCTCAGGGTTAAAGGGGCGTCCGCGGGCCGCCGCCGCTCCGCCGCGGGGAGACAAAGCGTCCTCTTGCCGCCGCCCCCCGAGCGGTTCCAGGCCATGGGCGGTGCGGACCGTCGCGCCAGCCCCGCAGCCAGGTGAGGCCGAGCGGGCGGGGACGGCGACGGGGACGGGATCCGCGCGGCCATTGCCCGGGACCCGCCCGCGGCCTCCGTCCGTGCAGGGCCGCGCGCCGCTGAGGCTGGCGGTTCTGCGATGGTGCCCTGCCTCAGTTTCCCTGGAGTCCTGGCCCCGGGGCCAGCTGAAACGCCACCGATGGTGGGTTCATCACTTGTCTTACATTTTTAAATATTTATTTTTTGCTTACGCGTGCGCGTGTGGAGGTCTGAGGACAACTTGCAGGAGCCGGGTCTTGGCTTGATCCCTGTGGTTTCTGGGGACGGAACTCAGGTCAGGCTTGGCGGCGCGCGCCTTTGACCGCTGAACTGTGTCAGCGGTCGCCAGTCCTGTCTTTTTGCGGGTTTTGTTGGTTTTGAGACAGGATCTCGCTGTGTAGCTCTGGCTGTCCTGGAACTAGGTAAGGAGAACAAGCTCTCCTCCGACACACCCGTCTGTCGTTGCATCCGGAGCGCTGGGATCAAAGGTGTGCACCACCTTACCCGGCATGTGTCTTTTATTTTGTTTTTAAAAAGGGTCTTGCTTGTAGCTCAGGCTGGCCTCTGCCTTCCAAGTGCTGGAATGACAGGTGTGAGCCACCACGCCGCCGCCGGGTGCTTCACCTACTTCGAATACGTTCCCTATAGTTTGTCCCAGGCTTTATTTTTAGCTCATCTGAACCTTCTTCACTGAAGCCCATTGAGGCAGCTGAGGTCTGGGAAGTGGCAGTGACCAGTTTTCTATCCTGGACCAGCTAGGACAGGAAATTGGTCCCTAAAGCATGGTGCATAGGCCCTGTTGATTCAGTAGCTTGGCTTCCTCAACAGTCTTTGAACTTGAGAAGAGCAGGACGGTTGGAAGGTGGGGAGCAGTTTCTCCCTCCTGGGGAAGCTAGAGCCTGGGCCCTGCTGCTTCCCAGGCTCCTTAGCTGAGCCAGGAGCAGGCAAGGGCCAGGGACCTGGCTGGGTTTTCTGTCTGCCTATGACCTTGGGCCAGGGTGCCCCCATCTGGGCAGTCAGGGGAGGGTGTCTGACGGGTACCTGGCAGCTTACTGTTAGTGGTGTAGAAGGTTGGTGAGAGGTTTGCCTAGGGCCCTGTGCTTTGGGTAGGTCAATCTACACATCCATGAATGTAGGGTGGGGACCACTCTTGTCACAGTGCCCTCGTGTTGACAAAGGTTTGCTTTGTCCTGTAGGCTCCTGAGTACCTGTTCCATACCAGACACTCAGATTCAGGCAGAAAACCCCTCCCCTCCTGGAGCAGGCACGAATGACCCAGGTAATTTACAGCTGGGGTACGGGAGAGTGCCTGGTGGTCTCCTGTGGTCAGCAGATGCCTCCTCCCAGGTGATGGAGAAGTCCCTGGTAGGGAAGGGCTGCCCAGGAGAGAGAAACAGCCAGGGCAAAGGACCTGATGAGGGAAAGCTTCTGGCGCATTTGAGGAATGGAAAGACAGCCAGGTGGCTGAGGCCCTGTGACAGAGGAGGGCAGAGGTTGGGAATGGAGCTGAGATTGGGGGACTGGAGGGGCTGAGCAGTGGGTAGAAGTCATGGGAGGTAAGACTCCCTCTGTGGGTCCAGGGCAGGACCTTGAGGTGGCCAGCTAGGAAGGGACAAGGGTGGAGGCAGGTGACAGCTGTGGGGTTCCTGTAGTGGTTCCAGCAAATATAGATCGGGACCTAGAGTTAAACAGCCATTGCTTTGGAGATGGGGGTTGGGGGAATTTCCTGGCCTCAATGATGGGATGTTGGGGGTGAGAGGGATACCAGGGGCCATTTGCTGAGACAGGACAGACGAGAGGGAGGCCAGGTACACAGTCAACAGCCAGCACAGCAGAGGGCCAGGTCCCCTGTGCCCCATGTGTCCCAGTCTCATTGCCATAACCTTGACTTAGACAGTTCTGCTCTTCTTTTATAAACGAAGGACTAGAGGTACAGAGAGGCTGACCGAGGGCACCTGAGGCGACCAGCCTGGAGGCCTGAGCTGACCTGTGAAGGCAGTGAGCGGAGCTGGGTGGGCAGCCTGTGGTAGGTTCTATGAGAAATGGGCCCGATTGTTTTGGGAGGGGTGCGTGAGTCACTTTTGCAAAGAGGCTCAGAGAGGGACAGCTAGTATAAGAAGCCACACAGCACAAGGAGACAGAGTGGGGATGCAACACAGCTGAGCCTTCAGGTGGCTGAGGCGGCGACCCCGCTGCTCTGTGGGGACAAGCTGGTCTGAGCCTCTAACTCAGCAGGAAGCTGTCCCCAACAGCAGCGTGGGTGGCATGAGGTGGCGAGAAAATAAGTATTTGTCTGGCAGCAGTTTCTCCCTCCACCCGGGTCAGGTGGCACAGCCTGGCCCTACAGAGCCACCACCCAGCCCTCGTTCCTCCAGACCTCGGGCGTCTTCTGCATTCCAGGCTGTTTACATACATCTCGTGAAAGGCATGGCTGCCGTCCGCAGAGCGAGGCTGTGACAGGGGACCCACAGGTTGCAGGGCCTCCTCCGAGGGGCCACGCTGGTGACACGTGTGCCGCCTCCCGGTAAGTCCTGCTGCTCCAGTGTGTACTTTCTGGGAGGTGTGTGTCAGAGTGCCCTCTCCCCGTCAGTCTGGGCTGAGCCCACACGGCATCGAAAATACGGCATTTTCTGACAGTTACTGCGGTGCTCTGTCTGTTTCCACTCCCCACCCCACTCCAGACACGCGTCCCCGTGGCAGGTTTTCACCACAGGGCCTCTGTGTTCCCTTCCCCCCTGCCGTGCTCTTCCCAATGGCTCCCTCCCTGAGGAACCTGACCTCCAAACCAACCGACTCACAGAGCTGGGACCTCCAGGCACCAGCAAGGGCTCTGGCCAACTTGCTTTGAGCCCTTGGCTTTGTGGCTGACCTCAGTGTGCCTCAGTTTCCCCACCTGACGCATAGATACGACCACAACACCAGCCCATGCCACCCAAGGTCATTGCTAGACTGATGGAGCTCACGTGGGCTAAGTGTCCGGCGAGCTGAATGGTTAAGGGCAGCAGGGGTGCTCCCTGTGGCTGTGAGACTCCCCGTGCTCCCTGGGGGCCTTGGGGCGGGTGTGGTGGGAGGCGGCTGCTGGTGGTCCGAGAGTGGGTGATCCTAGGAGTCACATCTGCTCCGGTGCAGGGGACGGGCGCGGGCGCTGCGGCCATGAAGCTGAACGAGCGCAGCCTGGCCTTCTACGCGACCTGCGACGCGCCGGTGGACAATGCGGGCTTCCTGCACAAGCGCGGCGGGCGAGGCGTGGGCTCGCACCGGCGGTGGTTCGTGCTTCGGGGCAACATGCTCTTCTACTTCGAGGCGGAGGCTAGCCGCGAGCCGCTGGGCGTCATCCTGCTGGAGGGTTGCACGGTGGAGCTGGTGGACGCCAGGGAGGAATTCGCCTTCGCCGTGCACTTTGCCGGTGGCCGCTCCAGGCCCTATGTACTGGCAGCCGACAGCCAGGCGGCCTTGGAGGGCTGGGTGAAGGCACTGTCCAGGGCCAGCTTCCACTACCTGCGCTTGGTGGTGCGAGAGCTGGAGCAGCAGCTGGCAGCCATGCGCGAGGGGGGCCCCACCAATGCATTGCCTGCCAACCCAAGCCCGGTCTCGAACCCTCGCCCCAAGGAGAATGGCCGGGCAGCGTGGAATACGCTGCCTGAGCAACCTGCTGCAACCCCCCAGGGCCCACCACTGCCACCCCGCCGCAGGGCCTCTGCAGCCAAGGGTTCCTTGGCAACCTTCGCCCAGCTGCATGAGCGATACGGATTGGAGGTGCAGGCCCTCAGGAACCAGTGGCGTGGACGGCAGGCTGGCCTAGCTGACCTAGCTGGCTTGGAGGACCCCTGGCTTCCTTCTGGTTCTGGTGGGAGCAGAACCCAGACCCAGGACCAGCCTTAAAGGGCCTACAGTTTGTGAGGGAGGCCTGAGAACAGAAGGCCCTGACATGGTTTGGACTCAAGCCAGGCTCGCAGGGGACATAGGACATGTGACTCAGAAGATCTGGCCCCTGGGGTCAGTGGCATTTACTGCCGAGGAGAAGAATCTGGGACCTAAACATATTTCAAGAGCCTGAGGAGCTGGTGTCTAGAGAACTCTGACCCAGACTGCCCTCTGACCCAGGGCAGTCTGTGTGACCCTGGAGCTGGCCTCAGGCCTGTGGGGCCCAGGGTCCACCTGATACTGGGCAAAAAGGATCCAAGGTCTGGGACTGAGAGTTGCTGCCTGGGCTGCTGTGGGCTGAGGCAGCAGGCAGCAGGGAGAAGGTGGAGCTTAAACTGGATAGGTCCCCAAGGCTCCTGGCCTGGAACCAGCTAAGGCAGGACTTTGCCCGGCCCTGCAGGCAGCTGGGCCCTCGCTTGAGCCAAGGCAGGGCCTCCGAGAGCCACCCGACCTCAGCCGTGGGCTGTGACCCAGCTTCTTCAGCAGGTTCACCTGGAGGAGATAGGCCTACGGCTGATTTCACGCCCGCGGGAGGAAGAGTCCAGGTGCTGCCCCTGGGCCCCGGACAGGTGACTAGTGGCCTTCCTTGCCACGTCCACTTGTCCACTCTCGTCACCACAGTGCTGGCTGCCTTCCAGAGTGCTGGGCCGAACAAGCGCCCCACCCGGGTATTGTTTACAGTCCTCCTCAGTGCCCTGCCCTGGGGCCTGGAGGACACTGTCACTGCAATCACTGCATTATATGGACAGATTTCACCCTGGCCCCTCTCCTCTGTCCCGGGAGGCCCCGGGCTGGGGTTCCATGGGCGCATCTGTCGTCAGGGCCTCTTGGCTCCCTGCTGGCTCAGGGGCCAGGGCTTGGCTCTGGGTTTTTCTTTGAAGTAGGTAAGGTATTGCCTTTGTCTTTCTCCCAGCAGTGAAGCTTAGTACTCACTCCCTCCCCCTCCACTTCCGTTAGGGTTGGCTGGCCTGGTAGGGTGGCATTGTCCCCAGGGAGCTGGCCCTGGCAGGAGACACACAGGTGCTGGCTGTCTTGGCCCTTACCTTTCTGTGCCCTGAGCTCGGCTGTCTACACAGGTGCCTCTGGGGACTTCGTCCCTATCCCTTCAACTCCCCCACTGTGTGGGGCTCAGGACCTTCTGATGTGGTCCAGCTGGGAGGCTAAGGGGTAGACTCTAGCCTGGGATGGTTTCACCAACTCTAATAAAGGTACGGGACAGCGGGTGGGGGCAGGAGTAGAGGTGCCCCCTTTTCCCAAAGCACAAGATGAGGTCCAGCTGATTCTGGACCTGGGAGAGATGTCAGCAATGGCCAGGGTACGAGGGCCAGAATAAAAGCTGGTCAAGTAATGGCTGCGTGTATTATCCTTTCTCTCTGTGAATCCACGGTTGATGTGCCTGCAGGGTCCCAGAAGGGAGGCGACTGTTGTCCTTTAGCCAGGCAGACCCTTCACCTCTTAGGGAAGACACTGGCCTCGTGTGTGTGTGTGTGTGTGTGTGTGTGTGTGTGTGTGTGTGTGTGTGTGGTGGGGATCTAGCCGAGGTCACACAGCTGGAGAATTGGCTGGAAGGCCCCCCTCTGACCCTGTGGCTGGCAGTTCCCCCTGGAGCTACATGGGGGACAATGGAGCATAAAGGAAAATGAGTAGATGGTTGATGGGGGCTGGGCCCAATCTCCTGAGGGTTGGGTGGGATGTAGATGGGAAAGGGTCCAAGTCTGGCTCCTCGCCAGACCTGGTGATAGTCTACACCTGTTATCCCAGCAGTCAAGGCTGAGGCAGGAGAGCTCCAGCAGAGGCCAGCCTGGGTTATCCAGTGAGATGCTGTCGCAACAAAACCATGGCTCTTCTTACTCACCAGTTCCTGGTAGCTCAGGGCGTGAGTGCAGAGGATCCCGGGGCTATGAGAATTGAGGGGAAAGGGTCTGTGCTTGATTAGTAATGTCTGCTCTGAGTGCTGGTGCTGGGTCCCCTCTTTCTTGGGCTTATGGGGGCTTTATAGTAAAGAAGGGGGCAGGCCCAGGGTGGGCCAGCTTGATGCTTGAGGCCCAGGGTCTTCCGAGCGACTCAGGGTGTATCACAGCCCTCCCTCTGCAGCCTGGAAAAACTATCTCCAGGGACATTTGGCTTTAGAGTGAACCGGGCAACCTCGCATAACTCATGTTCAAGTGCACCAAGCCACAGAGCACTGTGGTCAGGGGACCGCGTGCTCCTGAGTCTCCAGCACACGCTGAGTCCTCGCATCCCTGTGTGGCCACAGCTGACTGAGTCAGGGCACTCATCCGGGGAGGCTGCTCCAAAAGGCAGGGTGCGCCCTTACCTCAGAGTGACAGGTGGAGTCAGTCGATGCTGACTTGCCTGTCTGCCCTCCCGCTGCTGTTAGGGAGAAGATATCTAGAGGCACTGTGTGGTCAGAATCCTCTGGGAGGCCGCTGGGGGCGGGCCAGAGGCCATGGCACCTGTCTACCCCATCTGATTGATCCATTCGGGTCAGTCATGCTGTTGCCATTTGACAGCCCCCAAATGGCCTTGTGGCCACTTTTAGCTAGTGAGATGTGAGGTCACCCAGCGTCCATTAGATAGCTGCTATGAAAAAAGTGACCAAGGCCTGTGGGGATGTGGAGGAATGGACCCCCCCTCCCCCTCCCCTGGCCAGCTCCTCAGACAGGCCTCAGTGTGCACAAGTTTAAGAGCATTATTTGCCACCCGCAAGCAAACCTCCTGTCCATCGGGAAGGCGGGACACACACCATTGCACCCTGTGGCCCCAATGGATGAGGCTGGCTGTGATGCCCGAGAGAGGGAGAGCCAGGCTGGGGTCGCTGAAGAGAGCGGCCACACTGGGCTGCCGGCTGAGTGTTTCCAGAGCCTCGCCTGGTGACATCATCGGCATCCCACGACAGGCCTGAGGCCGTACAGGCAGAGGGGGCAGCATTTCAGGAACCCTAGAAATCGGTTTCCGGGACCAGGTGTTTCAGCTCCTTTTTGGATTGGTGTTGGGGAGGGAGCTTTGAGGCAGCACACAGCCAGCCTCAGACTTATGCCTCAGGGCTGGGAACCACCAAAGGTGGCAGCTTCATCCAGCAGCCTTAGCCAGCAGGTTCAAACACTGCTGTCTAGTCACAGCCATCTCACAGATGAGGAACATCAAGCCCTGGATGTCCCGATGAAGAACCTGGCTTTAAGGCTGGCATGTGGGTGCCTCAGGGTAGGGTCACAGGCTAGCTCCTCAGTGGATCACCTCAGACAAGGTCACTTCCGTCCAGCCCCACAGCTCTTGGGTCTTGGGGTGGCTTCAGCTGTGTTCTTCAGGCTGTTGTCAAATGGCTGGACTCAAACAATCCCCCTGCATCAGCTTCTTGGAGTAGCAAGGATAACAGGAATACATGACTTTTACCACCTTGTCCCTGCCTCTGATTCTCAACCTTCCTAAGAGTGGTAACCTGGGACCAGAGTGGCCAGCACCCAGTAATCTGAACCTTATAGCTACTGGAAAAAGAAATGTATAACCATCCCTACTTTACAGCCGGGGGAAACTGAGGCATAGAGAGGTTTAGGCATTCTCTCGTTGACACATAGTTCTCAGAAGGGCTGGTGTGGAAACCAGGCTGTCTGGTTCCCTGACTCAGAGGCACCTGGGCCTGTCTGCGAGGTCACCCTTTCTGGGACAGCTCCCTTAATTGCTCCCCACCCCCAACTGGTGCTGCCTGGGAGCCAGACTTTGGGATTGAAGCAAGTTCCCTTAGCCACGGTGGGGATAATGAGTCAGAGTCCTCCCCCAAGATGACATGGAAAACAGGAGTTGTAGAAAGGTTTTCCAACTAGCCAACTCTGAGCCACTGCACAGGGGCTCTGGCTCGTGGGCGAGTGACGGCTGAGGCAAGAGACACGATAGCCCCACTTCATGTGACGCTCACATGGTTGCCGGGCTCCTAGTTCAGGCACAGGACAGGTCATACCCATGCTCCACACAATTCCCCCCAGGATGCACCTCGAGTCACTGCGGCAACAACCCACTTTACAGATGTGGAAACTGAGGCCTGCATTATGCCGCAGGGAAGGGGCAGTGCTGTCGGGGAAGGGCCCTTTTCATAGACTTACTCCCCACTCCCCATTGAGAGGCTGGCTGAGGGTCATGGCCTGTGGCCACAGGTATTGGCAAGGCTCAATCTTGACTCCTAGTCCCACGCCCCAGAGTCCAACCATCCAGCCTTCAGGCCACACTACGGAGGACAGGGTTTCAAGTCCCTGGCTGCCTTCAGAACAGCTAGGACCTGCACTCAGTCACCATCCAGATGCCATACAGGTGCCATGGACAAAGGAGGCCACTCCTCAGCCGGCTGTTGTCACAAGATTGTCGCCCAGTGCAGCTAGAGTTTACAGTCCTCAGAAGCTGGCATCTGCAGTGCTTAAGAGACACACCCCCGTATCTGAATGCTGGCACTCAATTAAAAAGCCAGTATTTTCTGGGCCTGGTGGTACATGCTCATAATCCCAGCCCCCAGGAGAGAAGATCAGTTGTTCAAAGTCACCCTTCACTACAAAGTGAGTCTGAGGACAGCCTGGGTCACATGAGACTCTCAAAACCAAGTCATGTAGCCAGTTGTGCACGCCTTTAATCTCAGCACCCTGGGAAGCAGAGGCAGGCGGATCTCTGTGAGTTCCAGGCCAGCCAGGGCTATGTACTGAGGTCCTGTCCCATAGACAGTCAAACAGACAAACCAACCACACATAATCAGTTTTTCCTGGGCACCAGGACCCCAGCATTCAGTGGGTAAGGCTGGAGAATTCCTCACTGAGCTGTGCAGTGAGACCGAGGAAGATGTAGTGATGCTTCTGAGGCCAGCCCTCGGGAAACAGAGGCAGGTGGATCTCTGTGAGTTCTAGGCCAGCCAGGGCTCCACAGACCTGAATAAATACATAAACAGGTGGTCAAAAAGCCTGGTTTTCACATGTATGATTTTGAACTGCTGAGGTAGCTCAGAAGGTAAAGATGCTTGTCATGCAAGCCTCATGGCCCAAGTTCAAGTTTCTGGAACCCACATGGAAGACAATCCACTCTGGCAAGTTGTTCTCTGATAGCCGCTCTGTGTCTATACGCACACACCACACACGACAAAAATAATAAAGAAATTTATCCTGCCAGTGTGGTTGCGCACGCCTGTAATCCCAGCGCTCAGGGAGGCAGAGGCAGGAGGATCTCTGTGAGTTCAGGCCAGCCTGGTCTACAAAGGCAGTCTAGACAGCCAAGGCTACACAGAGAAACTATGTCTCGAAGAAAAAAAACAAAAGCAAAAACAAAAAGAAAGAGAAAGAAAGAAAGAACTTAATCCTAACATTCAAGAAGCAGAGACAGGCAGATCTCTATGAGTTCCAGGCCAGCCAGGGCTACAAAGCAAAACTTTGTCTTAGAAAACAAACAAAAAAGTCCACCACTACCCAACCACCTTCCCCCCGCCAAAACAAAAACAAAAACAAAAACAAAAACAAAAAAAAAAAACAACTTATTTTGTACAATACTTCTGAGGACCATCTTCGACCCCATCTTGCACCCAAGCTCCAGAACAAATGGGGACACCCAGGATTATTATACAATTCTGTATTTAGAGACGTGTTTACAGAAGGTGTCCCTTTTTGAAAATTTTTGACAAAGTTCATCAATCTCGCATACAAACAGTTTGTGTGTGTTCTTTTTTTAAACCGTTGTAGGATGTGAACTGGACGGATCTGTTTGCAGGTCCGGGGCTTCCTTTGCACAACCAGCTTAATGTGTTCAAAGGTTACACCAAATCCGGTCACACTAAAGCCACCGTGAATTCTGCTTAGTGTCGTTGGTGTGTGGCACACATCGCCTCAACGTGTGGTTTGGAGGTGAAGAGTGGCAACGTCTCCCTGTGGGGGCCTGTTACAACGGGGCGGCAGAGGCTGAGGCGGGCTTCGTTTGTCCCAGAATGGATTCCTCTGAAGACTCGTCATGGTTTCCTAGTGTCAAAATATAAAAATACCCTCCTCTGGATAAAAATGTATACAGTGGAAAACTTCTCGATGCATAGCCAGGATTGTGTGTGGAAAAGGAGGTTTTCCAGGGCTTGTTTGATGTTGACAGTCTGCAGCCTTGGCTGGGTGCATGAGAGTTAGAAATTCTGCAACGGTCCTTTTTTTTTTTTTTTTTTTTTTTCTTTTTTGAAACTTTTTTTTTTTTTTTTTTTTTTTTTTTTTTTTTATTGTGCACCTCCTTCACAGTGCTTTTGTGCACCCATGCGCGTGCGTGC